GGCGGGGGAGTCTTCGGCTCGGGGCGGCCTCGCCCTCCGCGGGACTGCGGGAGGAAAACTGCGCCGCCAGGTCCTGCGGCAGGCTCCAAAATGAGAGGGGCGCTCGGGTAGGGGTAACCGCCACAGTCTCCTCCTCGGCTGAGCAGCAGCAGCAAGCTTATCGATGCAGTCTATATAAGCAGAGCCTATTTCTTTTTTATCTTTAAGCGTTGTGTTTCAAAGCTTTTAAAGTCACCGGACAGGAACGCTACCACACTCACATTTTTCTTAATACACTCACTTCCATATTCGTGAGAATTGGGCTTCGTTTGCTGAATGTCTTTCTACACACCCAGGCAATCTTCCTTCACAGAAACTTTGTTCAAGGTTTATTTTACAAGTTAAGATCTAGAGGTCTAATCTCAGAAGTAAATTAGACTTTTAGATGCTAGTTTGACTGCAATGCTAACACATACTGCACCAGGCTGGTTGACACAGAGACTATTTTTACCACATGAGAGTGTATCTATATATACACACATTCACAATTATTTATATCAGTGTCTGTTCTCTTACTGCATTTCATTTTGATTAGAGTTCAAAGAAAATTGAGTGATTTAAAATACTGTTGAGATGTATTTTTTTCACTGTGCAACACAGTGCCATTTTCTTAAAGATTTTGTTCTTGTTCCAGATTGATACAAGCTACAAGTCCAGTTCAAATGACATCTGAGTTACCAAAACCAAATAATTAACTTTTAATTATTCCAGCCTATTTCAATAAAGCAGATAATAGTCTATCATTGTTTCCTCTCCCATATTATCCAGATTTCTCCAGAGGACAATTACTACTGTGCTGACACATACATAGCTCTGGTTTTGTTTGCTTTAGAACTATCCTAATCAGATTTCTTATGGGACAGAAAAACATGCAGCTGAAAAGTTCATCAACTGTTTGAGCAAGGATCCAATTTTTGTATATCACACTTCCATATTTAGTTGTTTTACTTAACAGTTATTGCTTCTTTACTCACACATGGAGTTCTGTTAGCAAGACTGCAGTATTATTGCTCAGTCTGTGACAAAACAATCATGATCCAATTCTGGCCTTCTTTAAAATAATACATTAAAGGTACTTAGACAAATTTCCTATCGACATGGAATAAACAGGCATTTATGCTCAAGTGTACATGCCATTTCAAGATTTTTTTTAACACAAAATTCTAGCTATAACAGTTCAGGGATCATAGGAATGTTTATGGATTCCAAAGCAATTTTCAGCTTTAGTCAAATACAAATTAGAATGCCACTAGCAGCACAGAAGTGCGGACAAGCAGGTAAGTCCATACAAGCTAGCTTCCAAGGCTTATTTTATGAAAAGATCTACCAACCAGCTCATACTTATTTGTAATTTTAATTAAATATTTGAAGTTAAGTCCCAACCGGCAAATCCTTAAACTACCCTAGCATGAAAGTATTAAACCTCTTCTAGATCAGAGGAAGATCACCTAGATCGACCTTAGTACATGTGAGGTGAAAATGTGGCCCAGAATATTTAGGCCTTGTTCTAGAATCTAGTTTTTTACTACTTTTTTTTCGATGTGTATTTTCACTTAGCTTCAGATTCGATGTCCAGTAAAGTAACAGAACATACAAAAGTGTTTGATACAGTCTGCACTGCAGACTTACCTGATGATGTGGAAATGTAACCTTTTTGTTCTAGTTTATAAAACTTTCATGTATAAAAAAAGCAATGTAGTCTTGTAACTAGCTGTTTATATTGCTCTCTCCCAAGAGTACCCAGTAATTTGGAAAGCAGCCAATGTTTTCCTGTGTCGTTTAAAAAATGGGAGATTTTAAGAACTCTGATTACAAACTACACATTCGTAAGTGCAGTTGCTTTAATATATACATGGAAGAGAGCCAAGCAGGTACTTAATTTAGGCAAATGTGTTATCTTCTGAAACTAAAGTGGAGATGTATGCCCTCGGAAACATTTCTTGACATATACAATTGCAAGCAGAAAATTAAGGAAAACTACACAATAATGGGGATTAAAACTTGAATAAATACCATGAGAGTTCTAAATTCTTCTTAACACGTAATAGCATTTCCTTTTTATTGCAATATGTTATATACAGGAAGACAGTAAAGAGGAGACTATTCCTAAAGAAGAACAAAGCCACAGAATGAGGCACCCGGGCTGTCAACTGCACCATCAAAGATTACATTTTTCTCCAAACAAGATCTTCTCAGAAAGCAAAAGGAAGGCAAAGTACTCCCATCTATTCAAGCTCTAGTTGTGCAGTTTGGGACACCAGTAATGACAGTAGCAAATGCAAACAGAAGTCATCTAATAGTTAAAAAAAAAAAAAAGCAGAAAACCAACACAAAAGTAAATCTGAGGTGATTAATTGGACATTAGACCTTCAAAGAGAAGAGACGTCCAGTATCAAATGGTAGTTCTGACTACTATCAACTAGACAGAAATTGGTTGAGATGGATAATTGTCCTAATTCAGCAGAGTACTTTGCTGTTATTGCAAAAAATTACTTTGTATCCTATATGCAGGGCACATTTCCAAGATGATGGCGGCAGAAAAAAACAGAGCATATCATACTATATGCAAGGTAAAACTGTATTAACTGGTAGTGTAGATTATTGCACCACATAAATATTTTTGGAGCTACTATCACCAGAGTCAATGCTAACTACAATTGCTCTGGTTTAGTCCTGCTATTCAAGCTCTTTATACTTTTTATCCTTCCAAGTTAAAAATAACTTTTTAATAACTAAAACAAAAACTCCAGAAGATTCACTTAAGTTTCAAGTTTTCCTTCTAAATACATAGTAACACATACATGTTGAAGTAGAAAACGACTAATCTGTAACACATAATACTTCAATTCCTATTAAGTAACTGCACTTTATTACAGCATCTTACATTTCTATTCGCAGTTTAGCTTTATTTTGTAGGTGAAGGCAGCAAAGAGTGCCTGGATTTGTCAGCTACTTGGGGAAAAATGTCAGGTTTCCAAAACAGCCATCAAGCACTTTAAAGTGCCATGAGCACTTTAACTACAAACTGCAGGAGTATTTCTTAAATAGAGGAGTAAGATCAAAATTTTAGGCTTCAGACAATTTACTGCAAAATAGAAAAATCTCTACTACTATTTTAATTAACTTCTTACTGAGCACCATTTAATAATACAGATGATTTGCTGGGAGTGCATGTAGAATAAATTGCTTATACTGAAAAGGCAAAACTTAATATTGAAGAATCTAAAAGCTCTCTCCGCTCAGTCCTGTGTAATTCTATATCTTCTACTCTATGCAGAAATTACCTCCCAATTTATGGAGAATTTTCCATTTGTTTTCATTCTGCTGGAATTCTGGAAAAGATTCTTCATCTGCTGTGTGAACTCTAAACCTGCAGCCCATACGCTAAACTCTGCATACTCTCCTTGCCCACAACTGCTTTCTGCTCTTGTGCAACACCTTCTCTCTTGGGCAGTTGCTTCCTTCCACAGCACAGGTGCAGAGACATCTCGCTGGGCATTGAGCTTTGTTTACCGTTATTCTACAATGATGTCCGAAAGCACTAGTTTTATCATTTCAACAGGAAAACAAACGCTTCTTCCATAATACTTCAAGCCTACCAGTTCCTCCGGATTTTTCATCGTTAAGGCATAATCACCAGTAGTTCTCCACTATCCTCTTGGTATCTCCTCAGCAAATTCCCATCCCTTCTTTCTTGCCGGTTCTAATTCTGCCTTTCGGGTCTGAAAGGCAAAGACCGTGTTTTCCAACATCTGTGACATTTCAAAGCACCCCACAGAAAAACAGCTGTTTTAAAGACTCCTTTTCCGCTGGCGGCCCTATTACAGCTTTTCCGCTCCGCAGCGGCTGGCGGGGCTGTCCCCCCCACCATTACACGAGGCGGCGGGCAGCTGAGGGGCGCTTTTCAGGCCTAACGGTCCGCTGCAGCAGCAGCGGCGGACCTGCCACCGTTCACACACACGCGGTCAGCCCTTCCCTCCGGGAGCCGCTCCTCCCCCACCCCCCCCCGG